ACAAAAGTCAAGAAACAGATGCAAAAATCTAATGGGTGAGCAAGAGTGTGTATTTCAGGACTAGATGGTTACATTTTGTCTGTTGTCCGCAGCAGAGTGCATATCTGTGTAGCGGAGCTGCATTCCTGGCTCACTGTAAAGGCTGCCGAGCTGTGGGGAAGCTTGAGGTAAAGGCTGAGGCTGCTGCTGAAGCTAGGAGGGATTGAGAACACAACAGTAAAAGGTCAGAAAGATAAAAGAGTAAAAATAAATAAAGAAAAACAGTGATGCAGTATGGAAGACAAGGTTAAAGTTTTCCAAAGTTTAAAATGAACCTGGAAAATCCTGTTCTGAATATTTAGAAATAAAATAAATAAGCTGGCATTTTTAATCACACCAGGCATGCTGCAGCGGACAGTCAGCAAACTTTACAAGATCTACTCAGAGCAATAAAGGCAAATAAACTCAAGCAAATAGCCAGACAAGCTCTACTTAAGAGACTCAACCAGTCACAAATAAGTTGTTTTTATATCCCCTTTTTTTAAATAATGTGCAACAACATCTGATTTAAAGTCAACGAGAATTTAATTAAAAGGTAATAACCTCACAAATTCATTGAAACTTCTCCATTTTTCTATAAATGAAGTTAATGTTTTAGTAATTTGTTATTCATGAAAGTCAGACAAATAAAAAAAGAGCAAAGCAGGAATGGCTTAAATGCATTTTGAAATGAAAATTACTAACAGAGCACATAAAGTTGCGAATGCTCTCACCGACTGATTTGCCAGCTGAGGTAAAGTCTGGATGCGCTGGGCATTCCACTTGAAGGGCATATTAGGGTTGTACACAGCTTCCACAAGGACCCTGTCACCAACCTGGGGAGTTTTTCCTTTCACAGCACTATGGAAGGTTTACAAAAAGGACATTTACACACAAAGTGTAACATTATAGTAGCTTAAAATAGATAGAACTTTTTCTAGTATTTCATTTCTACAAGGTAACAGACCATCTGACAATAACACTTCCCTACCTTAGCTGAAAGAAGACATCTTCATCTACAAAGCCAAACGTGTCATGTAGCTTATTGACAACACCAGTGAAGACTCGCTGCTTCTGAGGCTGCGTCTGCTGTTGGTGGCTTGAACGTGGCGTTGGATACGACACAGTAATCTGGGCCGTCTGCTGAGGGTTGGACAAGCTCAGGCTGGTGGGCAATGCGACGGGAGGCTGAAGGTTAGATGGAGATTATTAAAAGCTCTTAACTTTATAGACTCATTGTTTGCGACAAGGACAGAAAGTGACATGTAATAGTAATAAATGTTTTCCTACTTCTTTAAAATCAACAGAAAACCAGGGGAGTTAAAAAAAAAAACCCACTAAAGCGATTTGTATTGCATGTATGCTCTGGATTTACCTGAGAGATCAGCGCCTGCTGAGGCTGAGGGAGCTGTGAAATGAACAGAAGGAAAAACAAATGTGATCATTTTATTAACCTAATGCAAAGTTATCTTGTCTTTCTTATTGCATTTTGACAACTCTTCTTTATACATGATCTTACATATTAGCATCACAAAATGAATAAAACAAAGCTAAGTTATAATACGCTGCTGTAAGAAATCTATTAAATAAATCAGCATTATAGCCAGTAAGTACTCTTTAAAAGTATAAATGAAAACTTTCAGTGTTTTGTTTTGTTTGTATATATTTTTATTGAGCTTAAAAATATATACTTTTTAAGCTCAATTAAAAAAAAACTGTAGAATACCTTCGTCTTCAGACAAAGCTTAGACCAGAAACTGAAAAAAGTAACACAAGACTGCTCTTCACCTGATGAGGTACATTATACAGTTGTTGAGGTGGTTGCTGGGGAGGTTGCTGTTGTTGCTGCTGCTGCTGCTGCTGTTGTTGCTGCTGCTGATACTGCTGAAGTGCTGAATTGATCTGTGACTGCAAACAATGACAGGATCATAGCCAGGGGTTAAAGAGCTACATTAGACAGTGACAAGATGAACAGATCGCTGCATGAGGTCTGGACTACTGTTTTGACTGACCTGCTGTAGAGCTGCTGCGGCAGCCGCTGCAGCTTGCTGCTGCAAAGCAGCAGTTTGCTGAGACAGCTGATAGTTTGCTGCAGACTGATTACTGAGAGAAGCTGCAGCCAAGGCTGACTGCTGAGAGTAGACGGAGGGAGACGCTCCAAGGAGAGACGGCTGTTGCACCCCTAGAGCTGCAAGAGTTAAACAGTAATAAATATAACATTAATGAGGAGAAAGATGTTGATATATATAATGTTATTGTAAAGGAGAACCAATTCAGACCCAACAGTAAACTGTTATCTTTAAGAGTACATCAATACTTCTGATTAAGAGAGCACCAATAGTGCTTGCTTTTATGTTTCAATATATAAACCTTCACCCAACTATCAGCTTTCCAGTTGCTGGTAAATGCATACAAATTTAAATCAGATTGGTGCAATCATGTCATATAATCAGTAGGTAGAAAAAAAAATCAAAGAAATTTACAATCGTTTATTAGAAATAAATTGTGCCAAAGTGAAACATCTCAATCATTTTCTGAGAAACCTACAAGGCCCAGAGGCTTCAGCTTGCCCTACTTACAGTGTAGGCTGTTGAGGTCAAGAGACTGTCCTGAGTGACCAGGTTGAGACACAGCTGTGGCAGCAAACTGGGTTGCCCACGGCGGATTCTTCTGGCCCCCGAACTGGGCCATGACTCATTCAGGGTTAGGGCTGACTCTGTTTACCGGGTCTTTGTTTACTACTGAAATACATAATCAAATCAAATATGAGACAAACTGAAGTCCAAAACAAACGTTTTGTATTGTGTAAAGCACAAATACCTTACAAATAAAATCATTTGCACCACAATCAAGAGATCAGAGCGGTGACATGACCATTATTTCTGATGTAAATAAGGAATAAATTTAAAACAAAGTTAGCGAGGTAAAATAACTATGACCCAGAGTTTTAATGTGCTCTTATCATGTTATGTTAATTTAATTTTGTTATGAACAACGCAAATTATGGTGTTTTTATGCTCATCAAAGATAATTCTGAAGCTAAGAAATATATAATTTTTAAGCTCAATAAATATGCCATGTTCATTAATTTTTCTTATCTCTAATCAAATTAGTGTTTACACAGCACTAATTTGATCAATTTTGTTTACTAAAATTAGAAACATCAATGGATACACAATTTGAACTATATCAAGAAGTGAGTATGATACTTGTGGCATCAGTGGGTTTTTATTTGGTGCCTTGGTTATCTTTTAATAACAAAGAAGGAAATGTTTGGGTATAGGCGAGCAACGTTTTAAATTTAGTTATCTGTAATTTTGTAAATACTATGTTGTGCCGTTGGAGTTAAAAAAGGTCCATTAATTAAATTTAAATCTAAGTAATTAAATTTAGCCTAATAAAGTTTATTTACATAAGGAAGTGGAGGTGCTAGTACTCCACTGCAATCGGTGTGGGTTTTAGCCACAAGATGTCCCCTGATCTAATGCAGTTACCGAGACTGTTTACAAGTAAGACAGCTTCTTGCAGTGCACTACAGAGGGGCTCAGCTTTTAAAAATAAAACAAAACAAACATTTAAACTGTTATACGGAATGGTTTCATTCTCCTGCAAGTGTACTTCAATCGCATGAAAGAAATTCCGAGTAAATTATACATCATTTCAGAGATAATAATGCAGACAAAGCAGCTGTTAAAAAGCTCACAAATTAAACAGGGTTTAGAGTGGCAAATCAAAAAACAGTATGTATTACACTATTTTTTTCATAATTTAGACAAATATGGCTTAAAAACATGAAAGCCCTTAATACATTTTATAAACAGTTTCCTAAGATTTCAACAGAGGCTGACAGCAGCGAACTCGACGGTCAATCAAGCTAACATTAGCCACGGACTGACAGCTGAGCTGCCTTAGCAGGTAAAGTAGCACGAATTCTCACATTTGTCCGGCCAGAATCTGAAGCGGCAGTTGATGTAGTTATTGGCGTGTTATTAAATCTTTTTGCACGCTATGTTCTTCTGACTGTTCTTATTATCCAAACGCACCTTAGCCAGCTCTAAGCGCGTTCAACAGTGGGGCAGCGACTGCACAACAGACGGCTAGCATTTCCAGACCGTTAGCTTTGTTGCCATACTAGCCTCGTGCTAATTCAATAACGAGCGCGAGGCCCTGGCAGTTAGCAGTCAACGACAAAGGTTAAAACTGCGAAAAATCGAGATAAAACAACAGCGTCCCGCCTGTCCGCTTTAATGATGACTATAAGACATGACCAGAAAGCGAAATTAAATATTGGCTCAATAAAATCCTATAATAACACTCACCGATGTACCTCTGGCGATTGTTAATGCAAATTGCGCATGCGCAAGAAGGTTACGCTGATCCATGTGGCAAAGTCAGCATAAATTGGTTTACCTATTTACTGTGTTTGGGATAATCTAATGCTCGTTTGTTCTTAAGCCACTTTACAGTACTATTTTTGTTTCACTCGGTTAAATTTGTCAGTGTATGACCTCCAACATATTAGATGTGTTTTAAAAATTACAACTAAATTGACAAATTGTTCCAATGTTTAGGAAAATGTTTCCACAACAGTTCCTCTCCGGAGTAAGGAAAGTGGGAAAATGAACCAGATTGCACTTTTGAGTTTTGGAAATATGAGAAAAATGGTGAGTTCACTTTCAAATGTCAACTTAACCTTTGATGACATTGGCTTTATAGCAGCAGGCAAATAGATGATTGATACAAATACTTAATAGTTGGTTCAAAAAGCAATATTTTAAAATCTGTGCCCAGATTTCATCCTTATTGAACTGCAAAAGCATGTCTGAATAAATTTGAAGGAAACTACATTCATGTCCTTATCTCATTGTCACATAGGCGTTACTTTACTCTGCAGCTCTCACAGTCGGTCTGCTCCTTTTTTTAAAAATCTATGTATTTTTCTTTGTGATAAACCATCTGAGATGAGTGACAGACAAAAGAAAAACAGTCAAAGTAAAGTTTAATGCAATACAGTAAAATTACAAAGTGGAACACAATGCATATTAATAACCTTTGGGGTTTCATATGATAAACTGACTATCACACCATAGATAATTTGATCATTTTTCTCCATTCATTTATTTAAATAATGTAATAATTTCCTAACTTCAACCCTTTATAATGTGTGAAGCAGGAGCAAATGCAAATAACTGGCTAATTTTCCTGGAGAACATAAACCGATGTCATCAACGTTCACAAAGTCATCATCTTAGCAAAATATTCTTTCTTAATGTACAATATTTATAAGAAATAAATACAACACTACATTTAAAATAATCACAGCAAAAAAAAAAAAAAACTTTTCTACAGCAACAAAAACATCATTTTCTGTCGTCTTTCTTTAGGAACAGGGGTATAAAGTATATGAATGCAAATTACAGTTAGAAAACTGGATGTTTTTCATCCAGTATGAGCAACAACAGAAATACTGTTTTCTCACTTGTTTACAGATATTTCTCTTCTGACAGAATTAACAAGCAAGTTTTTTGTCGTTGAGGTTCTTATTCTTGTAGCTTACGCTCCACTTCTTCAAAAACCTTTGAATTAATTTCATCCACTTCGTCTTCCACCTGGGCAAAAGATTAAGCATTAGTAATGCAATTGTTACCGTGTTGCCTTACACTATAAGACCTAAACATATAAGAAAGTTGTAATACAAAATATTTTAGAGCAACTGTAACCTCCTTTTAATAATTTTAAATACATTTTTGATTGTGGTTTGTATGTTGCTTTGTTTTAAATTTATGTAACTTTAAACTTGCAATTTATCATTTCTTTATTGTTTATTGAAATAATGAATATTGGTTCAGCAGCTGTTATAATCACATTCTTATTTGAACTTATATAGTGCTTATCACGGTTATTTCACATCTTTAGTCACAGAGTTATTATTGTTAAGTTCAACTACATTAAAGAATTTTAAAGCATGGAATTGAATAAATATTGTGTTCTTAATGAGTTGAACAGTTCATTGCTACTGCTTTCCTCTGTGGCAAAAATACTGGTTAAATTCATTTCATTATGAATTAACCACATACTACCACATCATAAGTCATTTATTTTATTGTTATTGTCTTAATGTGTAACATTAAAATGTATTAAACATACTTTTCACTAAGCCCATGTTTCGTTTTTAAAACGTTTCTATTGGTATGATGTAATATTTCAATATTAAATGTCATGTTTTTATTATCTATAAGTGGGGAAATGTAACAGAAATAAAAATTTAAAACATCATTCTGCATGTAAAAAAAAATTATATAAATTATATAATGTGTTTAACTTTATGAACTTTGTCACTGAAATAAACAAACCTTTTAGTAATGTAAGGAGTCTCTGTATCTGAAAGAAATTTTATCTTTTGCTAAAATTACTCTTAATTTATGAATGTGCTATTACCAAAATATCTATATAAAACTAACTTTTTGTGTGCCCACAAAATAGCTTTTAAAAATTGTTTTACTGTATCAACTTTAAAAAAAATAAGTACAAACTGCTTTTTAGTCACACACAAACCCAAATTGCAAGTGAAAAAAAAAGTTTTTTAATTAAACACCTGCTCCACGTTGTCCACTTCAGGTATGTAGAACTGCAGCATGTTCTGAATCCCATTTTTCAGAGTAACCGTCGAGCTGGGACATCCTGTGCAGGATCCGACCAGCTTTAACTTTACGGTGCCGTTCTCAAAGCCTTTATAGATGACGTCGCCTCCATCCTCTTGCACTGTAGGTCTTTGTGAGGTAAAGAGATAACACACATTTGGTCAGAACAGAGGCATGAAGGACGGACTGATTAAGAATTTTATCTCATAACAGCAGAAGGAAAACTGACATGACAAGTATTTTTTTACCCTCCATATCAATATCTACATCATCATATAGTGATTTACTTGGGTGAAACGAATACATGTTGACAGTGACAAGTTGGTAGGTTTTGTACCTAATTCTGGTGTCCAGAAGTTCCTTTATCATGGATACAATATCATCATCATCTTCAGAAAGAGCTGTTCCAAAGGAAACATAAAATATTGTAAAATGTCAAAGTGTTCATAAAAGCCACAGTCTGGACATGGCTGTTAACAAAAACTTACTACTTTCACGGTGCACTGCTCCTGTTGATATTGGGTCCCCACTCTCAAAGAACTTGGAAATAGCATCTAAAACATGCCGCTTAATGTCCGTCCACTCCACATCCTCGTCCGTCTGACAATAAAAATAAAGCATCTCGTGTGACCCTCCTTACAAACAATACTCTCACTGAGATGAGCTGTATATTTAGTGCTTACCTTAGTTACAGTAATGAAGTCAGGGCCAAAGAACACACTTTTCACTCCCTCAATTTCAAACAGGTTCCTGAAGGAGTCACAAACGCTTAGTTAGAGTAAAAATGGAAACATATTAAAGTCAGAACCCGCACATTTTCCAGACAAATACTAATAATATTTAATCTTTAGAACTGTATCACTCGAGTAATACTGTAATGTGCAATGATCCTAACAAAGTCAAAATGAGGACAACAATAATCATACTCAGACAGCTACAGTATTAAAAGTATGACATGGCAATAATCACCAAAAACACTATTCTGGTGTTTTTACTTAGACTGCTGCTTTGACCTTTACACATGGCAGCAAAACGGGTGAACCGAATGTTAAACTTTTCTAACATTGAGTGGTTTGGTAGTCTATGTCTGGACAGGCCAGGGATATTTTGGCAGCAGAAAGAAGAACCAATGAATAGTAAAGGCAGCTGATTACTATTTTTGTTTAATCTAGGTGCATACTGCATGCTTTTGACAAATATTACAAGTGCATTTTAAAAACTGTGATTTCTGTTTGTATTTTGTCTTCTTTTTTTTTTCCAATCATTGCTTAAGTGTGAACTGATTTCATTCAGTGTTAATTGTAATATGCATAATTATTGCTTAAACTTGACTACTACATTATTGTGTTATTTAATGTTTTGGGCACACTATTTAGACCCAGTGTTTCCAAGTACAGCAGTATCTTTGACCCATTACCTGGCTAAAGATGAAGATCCAGCTGAGCTCGGAGAAGGAAAGTCCTGCGTGCCGCTTCCAAGCACAGGCTTACCTGGGAGGAATTTCAAGCTTTTTGGGTTTGGAGTTTCTTGTGTCTGAATGGACAGGTTCCTCGCTGAAAAACGTCACAAAACAAGCTGCTTGGTAGGGTTTAACACTTTCTACTTGAATGACAGGATGACAAAGGAGAGTTCAGAGTCTGTGGTGTCTCACCTGAGAAGTATGTAGTTCCTGTCCCTGGCTGACTCTGAACTCCCCTGAAGTTTAGTACTGTGGTCTGTGAACGATCTGGTAGCCTGGTAGAAACATGAAAAGTTTGTCATACTTTTTTGTTTTTTAGCTGGGATACATAACGACCACTCTTTAGTTGTAAGGTTCGACGGTCAAATAATAATAATAAAAATAATATTAATAAAATAATAATAATAAAGTCTAGACAAATAATTGAGCTCGTACTAAGAACGACAATATGTGCTAGCTAACTACTAGCCAATAACTTAAACTCTTTAGATTGTCAAGAACATATGACATAAATGTTACAAAGTGATATTACGGGACTTAAAATATTTATGAATCAGTTCTGATATAAACACAAATAAATTTGCGCGTAAATACGGTCGTTTGCTTTGTAGTTAGGTAGTTAGCTTCCTAAATTAGCTTGCGAAATCTCACACGTACAACGATGCTGCTAATGATGGGCGTCACACGAGCCTTTGCTATGCGTTATATCAGTTAGATAACACGTTTAACCCACCGTGAAAAACAGATAAAACAAGTCAAACCTGAAGAGAGCTTTGCTTCGGGCCCGTAATAACCGTTGAAGTCCCCATCTGATGTGCGCCGACATTTTGTTTGTTTTGAAGTCGAAGACCCCATTTGGTCTAAGTTACACATGCCTGATCGGAGCAGTCTGTCATCACATGCTTTATTTTAAATTCAAAATCACTGTAGGATAGTAAACATAAACAAGCAAAAATATATATTAATGAATAAAAATAATACTAATAATTAATAATTGGTGTGGAAAAAATTCAATCTATCTATATATATAAAAACACATATCTATGTTTATATATATATATATATATATATATATATATATATATATATATATATATATATATATATATATATATATATATATATATATGTTTATATATATATATATAAACATATATCTATATATCTATCTATTTATATATATTTATATAAAATCTTTATATACAGACAGACAGACAGACAGACAGACAGACAGACAGACAGATAGACAGATAGATAGATAGATAGATAGATAGATAGATAGATAGATAGATAGATAGATAGATAGATAGATAGATAGATAGATAGATAGATAGATAGATAGATAGATAGATAGATAGATAGATAGTAAATCAAATACAAAGGGAAAGTTGTTCATCACCTTTTTTTCCATCACTGATTTACAGGAGAAGTTGAGCAAGTTTAGCATGTTTGCAGCACAATCCTAAGCTGGTGTTCATGTACCAAACTTTGTAACAATAAAAAACTTTCCATATAACACAGCCTACAGAGAGTCTTTGAAACAATACAAACAACAATGAAGAAGGCCAACCCTGCGTTTCCCAATGCTCTTCTCTCAGAATAAGGTGGTGCTTCAGAGGAGTGGCAGAGACAAACAGAAGGAGGCTCATATAAAACAGCTCTGTGCTCTTGATTGTGGAAGACTTACTTTAACAACACCAGAGTTACTGCTTATTAAAAAGGGAGCATTACATTTATTTACCACTGAGGTTTTGAGGGGTTTCGTGATCAATTGTTTTTACCTGGGGATTTAATGCTGGCTCCATGAGGAATCCACAAACCTCTAAAGAGGTCTGACACCGAGTGTGTTGAAGACGTCAGGAATCCTTGTTTTTGATTTCATTCTTCTTCTTAACCCCGAGACATGGTGCTCTGGATCATCCTTCCCATCTCACTAACACTGGTGTCCTTCATTGGAACATGGAGCACGTAAGTCTTTATTGACAGTGTCTTTAATGTCTTTACATCCTGGTTAAAGGATAACATTTCATCTTTACAACTTACTGTCTGTGCTGCCCTGTGTGTATTGATATTAAATGGCAAGTTTACAACAGTTTTGTTTGGTTTCACCTTCTGATCAGCTTTCTGCTGATAGTCTGACAGATTCCAGCATGCCAAAACCACGTCCTGGTTACCAGGACTACAATGCAGATTATATATTATTGGATAGGAAAAATAAGAACACATTGAAGGACTGACATTTATAACAGATAACCCTGGCATAATTCTGTGCAGATGAGGCATCGAATAATCTTTAGAAAAGTTGTCTAAATCAGAGAAAACCAACACAAAGGCACAAATTTAGTCAGATGTGAGTTGCGTGTATCCTTGAGAAGGTGAGATGAAAATATGTGACCTGGCTTGTTTAGCGTACCAGGGTGTGCTCACTGGATCAGCAAGAAAAACTTAAGAGATGTTTCCTTGTTATTCAAGCTGATAATAGTTAAACTCCAAAAGTCAGTTGTGAGTCAGTGTTCCCTTCACCCCTCCATTGTCTCTTTCTTTGTGTTCGATTTTAGCAGTAAAATTTACTGAGAGGCAAAATATTTTGTTCATTTACTCTGGTTTAAAGTTTTTATAGACTGAATAAGCTGGTTTAATAAGTCTGAATTAAGAAATAAGAAGACATTTGTGATTTAATGAAACTTTCACCAAACCTACTTGGCAGCAATTTAACTATTAAATCCAATTAAAGCTGGAATTCAACCATGGTTTTATTTAACTCAATTTATCACTGATGCGTTTTTTTTTTTGTTTTTTTTTTTCAGATATGGCATGGCCAACTCCAACAATCATGTGTGTTCGCTCAGTGATTGGTGAGTTGAGTATCATTTGTATTTTAACTTTTTTCTAAATCTTAACTAATAAGTTCACGATTTCTTTTGTAGGAGTGGTAAAAATTTCTGTCGAGGGAATGAGACCACAGGATGCTGCTTTGTTCCTACAATAAGGTGAAAAGTCAGGAGACTTAATGTCTTATTTTGTCTTCCCATGGCTTGAATTATTAACATAAATAATAAAACATGATTTTTTTTTATTCCAGTGGAAGTGGTACCTTTGCTCCCGAAAGCTCGCTGTTTACAGCAACAATGAACGCAGGAACCTTTCTATGTGAGTTCATCAGCAAAATGCCTGTGCTTCACATGTAAGGTGCCTTATAAAGTATTCACATCCCATGACATTTTTCATTCATCCACTTTTCACAATCATAAAGTTCTTCAATGAAAAGTTTATGAAAGGGAGAGGAAAATTAAACAGGCATTTCATGTTTTTTGGGGGGATCTATCTAAAACTGCATAATTACTGTTTTCAACAAGTACTGAATTTGTGTTAGCATCACACGTCTAGAAATTAATTTTTTTCTCCATTTCTTTTTGAAATTTGGCTCAAGTTTGTGAGATTGAGTGAATGTCAGTTTTCAAGCTTTGCCCAAAAGGATCATCATGGGGGATGATGCTCTCATTGATGTTCACTATTAATTTTCGGACGCAGAGTTTGCAGAAAGTTTTACTGTGTTTCTCATCTGACCAAATTGTCTACCGCTTCCGACATGTTTGCGGCTAACTGGATTTCCTATTAACCTTTTTTGAGAATGGAAATTTTCTTTTCCATTTGCACAAAGACCAAATTTACGGATAGCAAATGCTCTCCTTTCGTGTCTTGTCAGTGGAAGTGGACGGTCATATGTTTGCAGGTGTGAAACCCTTGATCGGTTTTCAGATGCTGCATTAAGTAGAGCTGAGTGAGACATTTCGGAGTTTGAGATATTGTTTTATAACCTAAACTAACTCTACATCTTATCTTCTGTCTTTCTTGTTGTTGTTTGTTGACAAATGTTCTCTTCACAAACCTCTGAGGCCTTCACAAAGCAGCTGGATTTAACTGAGATTAAATGATAGGCATATATATTTCATAACTAGGTGATTCTCAAAGATATTTGTTACTGTACGTGTGTTTTATTAGGTACATCTAATCGAGAAGAAATGACTAGAAATACATGACACTTTTGACATGTTGGGTTCACCTAAAAACCCAACATGACGCAAAAAAACAACAACAAATAAGTCAAAGGGGTATGAATACTTTGTAAGGTGGTGAGATGCATGTTCCAAGATGTGTCGTGCTAATCCTGTTTTCGTCTTTAGTTGTGCTGTTCACCGTATTCCATCATGCCCACATCATGGAGAGACACATGTGCCATTCCATGCTGAGCAAAATGGCGCTAGCCTTTGGACTGGTGGCAGCTGCCGGGGCCTTTGCTGCTGGAAACTGCAACGTAAGCAGTGCTCTACTTTCTACAAGTATTTCGCGGTTTAAAAGTGAGCAAAAAAACCCCCGGGGCCACTATGCAGAAGGATGAATTGTACGAAAAGATTTTATCTCATGAATACTTACCTTATATTAAAGTGGAACTGTTTCAGTTTACACCTGTGTTGAAAGAGCAAATAAAGGCAGGGCACTATTTGCTTTTTGCACTCTTTAAAGATTTCCAGCACAAGACGCATATTTTAAACTCTTGCACAGCTTATGTCATTGCACAGAAACCAGTGTTTTATTTTTGAATCCAGACTTATGTATTGAAAACCTGTTAACCATCAGGAGCATTAAACAATCTGCTATTTTCTACTACCGAGCCAATCACATGCCTTCTTTTTAAATCTTTTCCAATCGTGAGGAAAAGACTGAGCAGAACAGCAAGAATAAGAAAAAATATATTCACTAATAGTATTAGTAGAGAATTAACAATTAACTGCAAATAAGGAAGAACGTGTCTCTGTTTTCATAATGAAAAACCTGTTACTGCTCTCCACAGCCAGGTGATGTAACTCTCCTGCACTACCTTGGAGCTGCTGTCAGCTTCACGTGTGCCTGCTTCTACACCATCCTGCTCTGCGCCCTGACGGCCAAGTGTGTTCTGACCGGGTTCGAGAGGTTCCTCTTCCCTCTGCGCGTCTGCCTCGCAGTGGTTCAGATCACTGTGACCGTCTGCTGTATCCTTTTGGAGTGTCTGATGCCACATCAGCTTTGTTTAGTAAAGAAATACTTAGCATTTGGATGGTTACACAATAATTTAACTTGATGATTTCAAACTATATCTGAAGGCAGAATATAGCAGTGAGACCAAAGTAATGGCCTCAAAATTCTTTACAGCTCTGCGGTACAACTGTGTTTGCTAAGTGGGACTGACTGCAGCAGCTTGCACGACACAAGAAGGAAGCACAAAACCTTCCCCAGGCAGTTCAGTGAGGGAGTGAATAAAAAATAAAAAAAAGATTTAATCCTTGATCAGTTCAGTCATAAACAATCTTTCCAGTGATCATCTGACGTTGTCCTTCGGATCCTTAACTCGACAACCTGCAGATACCATTTTTTTCGTCCAGAAAGAGTACTTTTACAACGTCCTGTCTGCAGTTTTCGAGTGGACCCTAAGTGTCAACCTGCAGATGTTTGAGCTCACCTACACAGTGGAGTTTTTCTTCTTCTCGTCCTTCATGGTTTCAAACCTGCTGAGCAAACGCGAGGAGGAAAAGCCCTTGATATTGCCCATGTCCTGATATATGGCGGCCAGGTTTCGGCAGGAAAGCACAAACAGCAGTGAAGGACTGCGTAGGACATCAGTAACCACTGTGGCTGGAGCCTGGCTGAAGGTTCAATAGCGTTTTATATTATTTTTTCGTTTCAGTCTTACATGGCTTGGATTGCGTTTACTTCTGTTTCATCATCTCAACTGTTACCTGAAAAAAGTTTCCTTGAATCTCTATATCTTAGGTAATGTATTTATTAAAACTCTCCCACTTTAATAGCAACAGAACAAATCACATACCTGGATGGCATAGTGCCTGTCAAAATCATTCACTCTCTTCTCACTTTTTGTTACATTAACCATTTTGTGGGATCTGAAACACGCAGTGTGGAAAAAGTATTCAGAAGCACTGAGCCAGCACTTTGTAGAACAATCTTTCACTGCATTTAGAGCGCCGGTGGTAAATCTCTATGGGGTTTCCACGTCAACAAATTAAAATGTCTACCCATTCGTTGGTGCAATATTGCTCGAGCTCAGTCAGATTGAATTGATAAGAAATTTAAAATCTTGCCACAGATTGTTCTTTGATTGCAAGTCTTGATTTGGAGTGGACCGGTCAGACCTTTAACTAAGCGTTGATCAAACCATTCCACTGTGGCTGTGTGACTGATTAATGCTCTCCTTGTCCAGCTCACCAGTTTAGATGGATTGGCATATTTTTGTGAATTTAAAGTTGTGCAATATCCTCACCACTTTTCTCCCTGATCTGTCTGCCGTGTTGCTTGGTCTTCACCGACGCTCTCTGACAAACCTCGAAAGCTTTCGCAGAGCAGGTTCTCGTTATACTGAGAATGACTTTCACACAGATGGACTCTATTTACTAATTGGGAGACGTTCAGAGGTAATTGCTTGCTCTGGATTTTATGTAGGGAATAAAAGTGAGAATGCCTGAACACAAATGTCACACTTTGCCACAAATTTGCAAGCCTTGTGTCAATTTCCTTCTACTTCTCAATTATGTAGTACTTTCTGTTGGTCTATCACATAAAACCCTAATAAAACGCATTAAAATTTGTGGTTGTACCGTAGCAAAATGTGAACAGGGTTGTGAATAATTTTTCACAGCTGTGTAAACTGTACTCACCAGAAATAATTTACCCAAGTCATCTGGCTTTGATGAAACGGTTTAAGCCTGTGTGTGTGTTTTTTAGTGCAATAACCTTTAGAATGTGGACAGAGTGTACCAACAAACACATTTTCTCTAGTAGCTTGGTACAGGCATGACATTTAGGCACTTTAATAGAGTTAAGAAGTCATTACATGTGTTATGCTGATAGACAGGACAGACTGCACTGCTCTTGGATCGAAGGGTGGCGTTCCTGTAACTACCAAAGATCCTGTTTGACTAGACAATTAAAACTGAGTGACGTTTTTGAACAAAGAGTTATGCAGTTCATTCTCACTGAAAACACACAGACGTCATCACATCCTTTACAGAAGGTGTTGTCTGTGTCCTTTCCATTACATTGCGTGATTATATCTGGTCAGGCGTTCCAAGAGTTTACCGACTAGGGTAAATACTGTGGTGAAGTCCTCCTTGCTTTTCTCACTAGTTTAAAGGAAACCAGAAGTAATCTTGGAAATGCTAAATTATCGTTCCCATATACTTTTTTTTTTTTTTTTTTTTTACAAATAAAATTAGTTTAAGATCTCTGAAGGTGTTTGTGATTGAATTCCTAAACACATGGGTGACTGTCTTCTGCCCAAAACCATGAACAATTTAAAATTCTCACATGTAGCATTTGCTTAGCTTTAACCCATAATAACCAGGTCCTCAGCTACTCTTTGTTTGATCTTTTTCAACATTAGGTTCCTCAGTTTTGCTGAAAACATCAGGTCATGAACTAACATGAGAGCTTGTAGGAAGCGTCAAAATTCTTTAATAGTTGTCTTCACACAGAGCTGTGATGACTAAATATTTTGCCCAACAATCCTCTTAAGGCTGCAATCATCCCTGTTGCTGGTTCACCTTTTCATACATTTTTTTCTTCCAGGCAACGCTCTATAAATATGTAAGGATATAGCACTCTGAACAACCAGCTCCTTAAGCAAGACCCTTTTGTTTAATGTCCTTGTGGAGGGTGTGAATGACTGTCTTCTGGACACCCGTAAAGTCACCTGTCTTCCCCATGACTGTGTAGGCCATAATGTGGACATTACATAGTATTCATGCATTAAAAATCTGCTTCTTTAAAGATGTATTTTGGTACTATCGACCATTATTCAACAGTGAATGGGAATGGGACTCACTTCCTGCAATGAGTGATAAAAACTTTCACAAAATACTTTTTTTTTTTTACGTGTACCCGTAGTTTGCAAACAACAGCTACGGGTGGCATCTTATGATCACCAAGTCTCCATTAAACAATTTATTGTGAGGCTTTTGGCCTCGTTGCATTTGTTCACAAGCAAATTAATCCCATTTTGTTAGATTGGGTTTAATGCGGAATCACTGAAAACTCAAACGCTTCACAAAAGTGACAACAATATTGTGGTTTAATGCAAAGCACTTAACCTTTACTTGAAAGAAGGTAATATACATCCTGGAATTACAGATAATAAAGATACATTACGAGCAAAGTCATTTCACAAAGAATATCATCTTTCTTTCGCATCAATTGAGGAGTGTAACATAATCTACAGTTGCTGTTAGGAAGAGAACAGTGAAAAGCACACCTTCTGTCAGCAATATTACTGTATGGTACACGGGAAAATGTCATCTATATGCTATGAACTGCAAACAAAGAAAAATAAAACAAGTTTCATTGTTGTATTTCAACTAAGTAACTGCAATCCAAACATTATAAATAAATGTAACTGGAAGAAAACAAAACAAGAAGTACTATAAGCAATATTCCACAATTCCAGCGTGGTTGAAGTAACAATTGGCCTTAAAATGCAAACCTTCCACTTTGAAGTGTGACCACAGCTTTTCCGAACTTTAGGATACTGTAGATTCTTCATGCTGATGCACCTGAAAGCCCACCTCATGCTCTGAGTAAATCATGTTAAAAACTGACCTTAAAACTTGTCCTGTGAAACAAAATGTGTCTAGAATTTTTCTCGTGGGTGAAGAAACACTTTTTAGAGGAGAATTCAGCATGAGGAAAACACAAGGCCTTGAAAAGTTAAGGGGGCTCTTTCCCAACTCAAAGTAATCAAGGACAGAAACAAGTTTGCTCTCAGCATGGCTGTGGGAGGTCCCTATATAAGTCACACAACTGCTCAACTCTAAAAGGAAATTATTTATGTTCTTCTGCTCGATTAAGACATCTTGAGGCAGACTCTCCAGTCAGCCTGGTTCTAATAACTCCTTGTGTTGGGGGGAAGCTCAGACTGTACACACTATAAACAATAAAAGGAAAATACACTATAGTAGTTGACAACTCAAAAAGTTAATGTGATGATGCAGACAGGTAATTGTTTAAATCTACAGCAAGTTGAAACAGGGAGAAGGGTTTTCAAACGGAGTACATGTTCTTGGTGGTGGAGCCGCTCTTACTGGACGTGTCATCATGTGATTGGTAGCCAATCATGGCTTTTATAGGGATGCTCAAACGCTCTTTGTAAAGTTGCCTGTAGAGACACAAGGAAAAAAAGACTCACAGTCACCACCTAATGGTCGTAGGAATCCAGCCCTATCACACCGGTCGCATAGAAATACAACTTTAAATGTGTTTCACTGAGATTTTATGTTAGACCAACATAAGGTCTGATATAATTATATTCCATCAACTTTTCGGAATTTTATTTAATAAAAATTTGAGACCCAAGGATCCACATCACAATAATTGTGATGTTCTATGACATAAAAAATCTAAAAAGACAAGAGGTTTGAGGTTGTAATGAGAGAAAACATGAACAAATCCAAAGAGTAGGAATATTTTTGCACAGTCCTGCATATTGGTGTGACTTTCTTTCTTACCCTATCGTCATGATGGCTTCCCTGTTTTGGCAGTTGCTTGTCCAGATGGATATTTTGTCGCCTTTAGGTCTGACGTTCACCACTGCTCCACATACCTCTTCACTTGCCTCATCAAATGACTCACCAACTAAACACAGGAGCTGTAAGGTTCAGCATGACAACGTGGGTCAATTCATCTTTTCCTAAACAAATTATCCAATAAGAGGACAAGGAGTCGTTTTGAGGAGAAAACAGCGGCGGTACCGTTTCCATCCAGTAGCGGTCGAGGTCGTTATGCCTCTGTTGTTTGTTGAGGGTCATCAGCCATCGACCCCCAAGTTTATTCCGATCATCTTCCCACATTGGCTTAATCCCATCCTGGCACAGATAATTACAATTATATTAAATACTACCGTGTGTCCATTTCTTTCAGATGCATTCACATTTTGTCCATTGTATAATGAATTATTGAACTCAAGAGAACAGTCTCTAATTTGAAAAAGCTGATTTCAGGTATGCTAGTATGTATGAAAACCAGACTGTGGAAGTAAAATAATACCAACTCTTATTTTATTTAAACATAGTAAGAGAAATAAAACATTATCAGATGATAATAAGGAATAAATGTCAGATTGTAGGCACCAAATATTCATACAAATGGACAAAAGGAAGAAGTAGATTTACCTTAAACAAGCAATAATCACAACCAAAGCCAAGTTTGCTTGGTTGCTGTATGTGGTTATATAATCTGCAACAAAGATCAGAAGAATTGTTAACATCAAACAACAAAACTGAGCAAGATCCAAACATAAATATCAAGTCTCTTTTGCTTTAGTGCAGTATCCTGCAGCCATGGGAGCCAAATAAAGACTTACACCTGCTGGTTTTTATGTGTTTGCATTTTGATGGAAGGTTTCATATATTCAGCATGAAAAATATATTTTTATGAAAATATTCAATAGTATCTTTGTAATATTCAGAGACAGTTCACAGCACATTATTGAAATAAACAAAAATGATTCCACATTGTATTTGCAGGAGTTTGTATCATTTCATAAAAATGAAACTTACGCCCAAAAGTCTTCAACTGTGTCAAACTTGGAAATGAGACGCAAGTTCTCTGTCCAGCTTTTGCTCTTGTCATTTTTGAAATACCACAGGGCCCATCTGAAAAGAAAGCAATTTTAGGTTCACATGGCAATTCATTGCTTCTCTCGCAAAGGAAATACCTTTTATCAAATATTATGAGCCAAATTGGTCTAAAGAGGTTTCTACTTCATATTGTATGACCTCAGTGCACACCTGAAACAATAGCTTCTCACAAAAGCACACATGGACTCGGAAAACCATCCGCAGCACTAGAAACGCAGCCTTTGTGTACAATGGGAGCATTTACTCTTTCATGCGTTCCCAGGAGGGGCGGGGCTGGCTGGGAGAGAGCTGAGGGCAGACAGGGGACACCAGGCGAACTCAGTGCCCCCCACCACTTACAGCTGTTCCTTTAACCCACCCATCAGCAGCGTAAAACTAGTAAGGCTGGGCAATAAACCAATAATATATCGCAATAAATACATAATCAATGTCAATAGAAAATACAGCTGATAAAATGTTCAATAATTTCACTGGAGTCTGATGCCAATCCGCACAGCATTCTGGGGGATGTAGGCAGAGTAAGGACTTTAGCCACTCAACCTTTCCCAGCTAGGAAAGCAAAGTGAGTCCCATCAACTAACTCATGCACTCAGTCTTGGTTACTTAGCAATAACTTGTTGAGTCACTTGCACAGTAGCAATTTCAGGGTTTGCCACCGTATCTCATAACTGCTAAAAGAAACACACACACACAAAAAAATAACAGGAAACTGTGGATAAAACACAGTTAAAAACAAGAAAGGTCATGTCATCAATTTGGCAGCATTTCCGATACTTAAAACCAAAAAAATAATCAATAGTCATTGATGTCTGATATGTCACTTTGGTTACATTCATACTGCAATCTGAAATGACCCAATTCTGATTTAAAAAAATATATATATTTTTAGTTCTTTTAAGGCTTACTTAACTGCATCTATATTTGCATGTTCTTTTACTTCCCCCAAAATAACACAATTTCAGAAGCAAAATACGTTTTTCATATTTTCAGGCAGCTGGTAGTTTCAAGTAGTACCTTTAAGAAAATCATGTTGCCACACTGAAACTTAAAGAGATTATGTTGCAACAGTGTAGCAAAGCTTCATTGTGTGATTCAAATGCGTATTAAAGAGACAAAACAATAGAGCAAGATGAAAGAAATTGCAAACAGGTTCTAAGTTCCTGAAGCTTGAATTTCTAAAAGACACAACGTGTTTAGTCCCACAACAGAAACAAGAAAGTTTTACTTTTGATTTGCTGTTTGCTCTATAACATTTAGCAAATGTTTTTGCAATGTCCATCAAGGAGGATGCAGTTAATTAACCAACTCAGTTAAAGGAGGAAGAAATGTATCATTTGATCATGAAATGATCTTAGTAGTACAGTCCAAGTTTGATTTTCAAAATGTTTTTCCAACATTCACCTACTCAACTCAGTGTTTTTGATTCTCACCTGTTCTGCAATGGATGCTTGATATACTGCTCAGGATTTGCAACAACCTGACCATCAGCCTGTTGATCTTCAGTTTCAGCTGCTTTCTAAAGAGAGAAACACATAAAGACATCATATAGCTGCAGAGGAAGCAGAATACATGAATCTGAATGAATTCCAGTTTTGCACACATTGCAGACGAGAAAGGCACCAACACATTTTTAATCAGAGCTACAACAAAAACGAGTAATACTTACTAGTACTATTTTCAATAACAATTTAGCCTTTAAATCCTGCCAACTTGATCAGTCACTAGTTTAGACATCTGACATGAAACAGTGAGATGTCTAAGCAAGCTTCTTAAAGCACAGTCCTGATCTTGGCTTCTGATTCTCTGTTGTGCAAAAGTATTTCTTAACAATAATCAGATAGAATTTCACTTTCATGTCGTCCTTCACACAGAACAGAAAACCCTCGGAGGGCAGAGACAAGTTATAAGGATACAAATAAAGACAGCCTCCTCCCCCAAATAAAATAATTCATTCCAGATGAATGACTAACCCACTCGCTTGCGTTCAACAAAATAGGGGTTTGTGAATCCAAATCAGCAGAAACTGAGCTGCAAGTGCATCCACTGCAATTACGTGATTTGAGCACCATCTGCATTATGACTTTCTTTTAGAGATGTGATGTTTTGCCCATTGTCACTACCAAACCTCACAGAACCAAAACAC